ACAGACAGGTGGACAGAGGGACATTTTCAGACAGACAGGTGGACACGTGGAGGGACAGACTCTCAGACACAGGTGGACAATCGAACAGGGGGACACTCTCAGACAGACAGGGGGACACTCGAACAGGGGGACACTCTCAGACAGACAGGTGGACAATCGAACAGTGGGACACTCGGACAGAGGGACACTCTCAGACAGGCGGACACTCGAACAGGGGGACACTGGGACAGACGGACACTCACCTTGGGGGCGTTGTGACCCAGAGGTACATGCGGACCCCGGCGGGACTTCATGGCGAAGCGCATGATCTGTCTCTTCACGAAGATAAACAGCAGCACGAAGACCTGGAGGCGCAGACACAACGCGTCACCGACAGACGGCCACCTGCCTCCACACACACGCCAAGGCGCTACATATACCCACCAGCGCGCTCCCCGAGACACACGCCAGTCGCAGAATTGAATTTGATCATGAATTCATCTGGGATCACTTACCAGGCTTCCGTACGCCATAACCAAAACAACATTCACTCCAGACAGCGAGTTACTGCTCTGAGCCTGAGACATCTCGGCACTTTTGTAAAACAAAGGGGTAAACCTCCTCAACGATCCTCAATTTTGTTGTTTTTGTGTCTCCCGTTGAAACTAGGAATTAGAACACAGTCAGAGGATGCGAACGCGATTCGTACATTTTACAATGTTATGCGCCGTCTTCCGCATAAACCCGGCCAACAAAGCCCGCAAATGGAACTGCCTTGGCGAAGCCGCCCTGTCAACCATCACATGATCCAGGACAAACAGAACTCTGCTCATTTGACCCTCGTCACATGACACGGGCTACCGTAAATCCGTCCATTTGCGCACGTCCTACCGTAATGTCTTCCCGAACGTGACGATTTCGATCGGAAGTGTGTAAGCGTGCCCACAGTATTTGTCTGTTATGGAACGGACCACCTTTGCTAAACGCATACAGGACGGGGTCTGCGCACAGCCTTGCTGGCGGAAGTGTCTTTCAGTGCGTTTTGTGTTCTGTGAATAGGAAGGATTCTCCCCCTCGTTGGCTCAAGGCCTCGTTTCCTGGTTTGCTCGGCTTTAGCTAGGTGACAGGCCTCTTGCCCCTGCGGTGCTGTCTCCTGCTCAGGGGACTGCCTAGGGCCCCGAGGCCCCCAGGGGGACCCCTCAGTGTGCAGCACATCGTATTGTGACGAACGGCCGACATACAGGTGGTACGAGCCGGTAGCAGCGTGGCGATGGCAAGGCCCTCTACACCCCTGAGCGTAACAGGGAGATCGGCCGACGAACTCTGCCGGAAAAATCCCTGTGGAGTGATGCCGGAGGCCCGGGTTCGATTCTGAGGCGGGGCACGAGCAGCAATTACATTGCTGTAGTGTTTAAAGTTATGATTTGCTATAATTTTGAAGTCACAGAGGTTCTGTTTATCATTCTTTATTGTTACTAATTGGTCTTTTTTATTACTGTCAATGTTAAAATACACATTATCCTAGAAAAATCTGTGTTTCTTGTACTGTTTGTAACGTATTGTAACACTTACGGCCGACAGGTACTGTGTAAGAGCCGGCGTACCAGAGCAGGTGACGTCACCGCCCTTCCCTGTGATAGCAGGACTACAGCCCCTGGGCTGTGGAGAGATCTCTCTTTGGCTCACCGGGCTGGGTCCCTGCTGAGTGACGCGGAGTCCTGGGTTCGAGCCCCCGATGGTGCGGGGCTGACCTAATGCGGCAAGGGCGCCCGCCTGAACCCCGTTGCGTTACATTATGTGTTCTTCAGAGCTAGTTCATAATGTAATTGTTCTGTTGTGTTGGGAGCTGACAACAGTACTGTATGTGTTAAACACACCCCAGCTACAGACTCTATGACCCTCCACCATCTGGAAAACAGTACCGGAGCATTCGGGCCCGGACTACCCGACTCAGAGACAGTGTTTACCCCCGCACTATCAAACTATTAAACTCTCAGCCTCTCTCACCTACGATCTGAACCTCACAGTGCCTTCTCTCTTACCAAAGACTCAAACACACATTGAAATCTACCTCTACCTCACATGTCAAGAAGCTCACTCCCATCATTTTCTATCCTTTATTTCATTCTGTGGATGTATGATTTTGCACATCTGATGTTGTTTTGCACACTGCCTGTTGTCTCTGTCTTTCTTTTTTTATACAATTGTATTGTTGTTTTCTGTACTTCTTACCGTCTGAGAGCTAGCTTAATAGCATTTCGTTATACCATATACCTGTATATGAGTATAATGACAATAAACTTGAACTTGACTTGGCATAAAAGCGACCTGATACTCTCTGTGCAGGTATGGCACAGATGACTGAGCTTTGTCGTTCCATATTATTATTCCATTTTGTAAAAACAATCAAACAGGTAAGCACAAATCTTTCCTATCCGGCCACTTGCGGAAAATTCCCCATGACGAATGGCACCCGTGTCACGTGTTGGGGGAGAGCCCGCAGGGCAGGAAGTCACGTGATCGGGGTCTCCCCTCTGAAGCGGCGGTGTGCAGTCTCTTAACCACGTGACGCGGCTGACGGGGTGTCAGTGTGGAAGAGAAACAGGTAAACTCCGAGTCGGTCGCTTATTGTCTGCGCGGCTCCGGCGGTCTGCTTTTTTTTTTGTATTTTTTTCCAAGGGTTGACAGGATCAGAGTAGTCCAAACCGAAAGCAAGCTGATTGTGAGACCGTTGCGTCGGTTCAAACGCTGAATTTTAGCCGCCGAACCGGGGTTTCTGGTTAGTAAATCGCTCGATATTTAATTTTTTTGTTGTTCGGGGCCTAGCGGCCTAGCTGAAGCCTCGGGCTTGAGTAGCGGCGGAGCCGGAAAAGCGGGGTCGGAAGACCGGCGTTGGTGGTGATTGTGTGCGTGGAGCGGAGGGGGGGTTGCTGTCAAACAGCGTTAAAAATACAGAGGTGGGACGGGATAAATACCAGAATCGGGAGGAGCCGTTATTTATCTCGGCGCTGGATACCGACGGAGACGGGCGAGTGCGCCCTGTGGCTTGGTGTGTTATCTGCGAGTCGGTCTGGGGTGGCTGGTTAATGGCTGCTCCTGCGACCATGAGGTTGATCGGAGGCGAGGGGCGGAAGGCGATCCGCACGCCTGCCGAGATTATACCATGCGGGTCGTCTCCGCACGGCCGCTCTGAGCGGCTTTCGCCTCTCTCTCCCTGCGGTTTTCCTCGAGGAAAAAAGTTCGGGGAGACATTTGCAGAAGTAGGTGCGATCTCGCCCCTAGTCCGTGGACCGGCCCGGGTGTTTCTCAGACACACGGGTGGATGGGGAGAAGGGGGGGGGGCGAGTTGGTCGGGGAAAGAGAAATAATTCGGCGAATTTCTGATCCCGGAGGTAAACGAAATAAAATTAAAGGGGCTCCGCATCTCATATCTCCGGCTTATGGATAACATCCCGGCTCTTGGGTTGGGGGGGAGTCCGTACCGGGTCTGAGGCGAAGTTAGGGTTATGAAGTGGGGGGCTTTTCTGTTGGTGTTTTTAATTGATTTGGGGGGCTGTACTCCCGAAGTTTCCACTGCGGCCTCTTCCAAAGTTGTCCGATTTCGCAGTTGTAAAGTTGGGCGTTTTTTTTAAAAAAAAACCCGTCGCCTTTTCGTCTGGATAGTTTCGGTCTAGAAGGTGGCGCTGGGGGGGTGGACTGCGTCGTAGCTGTTGCGTCCAGATCTAGTTTCTAGGTCTGAAGCAGTAAGGTTTTCTGTAGAGCCGGCCTTTCTGGGGTATATTTCGCGGAATTAGTGCTTTATTTATAACCCGCAGCCCGTTTCTTTACTATTAAGTCACTATTGAGATCAGTTGCCGTACAGAAAGCGACCGTGTCCGTTCGGACGGCGGTAAACTGGGTTAGAAAAGCGCTGCCTGTTCTCTCAGGGGGGCTGTTGGGGCTCCAGGCGGGCGACGCCGGGTCTCCATCTTCTTATTTTCAAACTTTGTCGACTCCTTGTGGGATTAACACCACCCTTGCGTGGTTTCTGGACCGAAAGTCGCGTGAGCACGTCGGGCCTCCGCGGGTTCTTCTTCCTGCTGTGAGAAAAGTTCAGGCAGGAGAGAGAGAGAGAGAGGGGGGCGTCTGTGTCCGTTTTTGATTTCCGTGAACGCTTTTGCGGTAGTGGTGGTCGTCGTTGTGTGTGTGTGTGTGTGTTTTGAACCGTCCCGCCAGCTCCGGCGGGGGGAGGCCGGTTCGGCTCCGGGAGCAGGGCGCCTTGCCGCCGGCGGTGACTGTTTCGGTTGTCAGCGCTCGTTGGAGACCGACGCCTCGGCCTTTTCCGGGGAAACCCGGGCGGCGGGACAACCAGTACGAGGGAAGAGGCTTGGCCGCAGCTATTATATAAACGGCAGCTTGTTTGTTGTTGTTTTTTTTCCCCCCTCTCTTTCTTCCAGCAGCTCGGGGCTGGCCGTCTCCTTTCACCCTCTCTGGGATTTCGATGGCTGTTCAGTCCCCCCAGCAGCTTCGGTGTTTTTTTTCTCTTGGCTGGGTTTTTGTGCTTGTGTCACACGGTCGCGTCCTCTCCCCCGTTGAAACCCTCGCGGGTGTGAAGTGGTTGTCCTGGCAACGCTTAGCAGGACAGCGCAGCACCCTGGAAGCTGCGGCTTGCAGGCCGTGCTTGTCCTCTCTCGGAGGCTGTCTGATCGCGATCCGGTCACGTCCTCCGCCTGGGCTCGCAGGACGGGTACGGGGGCCGGGGTGCAGAGGGCCGGCCGAGGCTCGGGCTGTCCAGTCCTGACCCTGGAGGCCCCAGTGTCTGCAGGTCTTCCTTCCAGCTCGGCTGGGTATTAATTCAGGGGGACCTGCTGGCACAGCGGCTCCTCCGGTAGCCCCCCCCCCCCGGCTGTCCGGACCCTCGGGTGACGGGGGCAGGAGGCGACACAAACACGGCGACCCCGTGGATCGAGGGGTGTGGGAGGGGGGCTGACTCCAGCTGGTGGGGTGTCTCGGGTAGAAGCAGGGGGCCGGAGGTTGGGGTCCTGCAACCCCTGCACAGGCGGATGGGTGGGTGGTCTTGAGGTGCGGGGGGGGTTAGTCCGTGGGGCCCTGCAGGGCCAGACGTGGACGCCCGCTGCGGAGGAGAGGGGCGGCGCTAGCGTTCGGTCGGCCCGCGGGCTTGAGACAGTTGGGCGAGGAGGGGTGGGTCGCGGGCTGCTTTTAACAGGCTGTCTGTCTTGTGTTCCAGGTGTTTTTTTCCTTTGTAAATACTGTTATTTGTATATACTGTAAATGATGACGTCGGTGGGCAGCAGCCGCGCCCGGGGGAGCTGGGAGCAGACGCAGACACAGAGCCAGACGCAGCACAAGCAGCGGCCACAGGTACTGGGGGGGGCTGGGCAGGCGGGGGGCTGGGCAGGCGGGGGGCCGGTGCTGGTTGTTAAGGGGGTCCGGGTGGTTGTTGGTGCGGCTGTGTAGAGGCTCCTCCCTGCGGCGAATCCGTGAGAGGAGCTGGCTGGGACCCGGGTCGCGCGGTGAGCTGGCGGCAGCCAGGGCGTCCTCCTGTGCTCGCTGCTGGGGGACGGATCGGGATGGGGGGGTCAGAGTGGCCCAGGCGCATCGGTCCGCCGGCGGAGAGGGGCATCCCATCATGCATCTACACTTGGCCTGCTTCGGGCCTGTGCTGACTGTGCCACCTCAGCAGTGGGCAGCTCAGCGGGCCGCCGGTGCGTGTTCTTCCTGCTTTGAGTTGCTTTTGCCCTTTGTGGCCCCTTGCCCCTGTGAGGGCAGGAGAGAGCAGTGGTGTGAGTGCCTGGTTGCACCAGTACCCACTGCAGGGGGTTAATCTGTGGTTGGCAGCAGTGTCCAAGGGGTGCGGAGAGCAAGGGGCATTACTTTTAGCATCTTAATTCTTCAGAAAAACCTGGGAAAGTTCCAGCCCTGACTCAGGGCTGTGGCGTATCCCGTGGACTCGGGACGGCCTGCTCTCGGCTGGGCTTCCCCTGGCAGGGCCTGATAGGAGGCTCTCCTGACTGGGATTGGTGACCCTGTGTTCTCTCTGGACCTCTCTCCTCCTCCTCTTCCTCCAAGGCCACCGCGGAGCAGATCCGACTCGCACAGATGATTTCGGACCACAATGACGCCGACTTCGAGGAGAAGGTGAAACAGGTGAGTTGTGGCCCTCCGCGCCTAATTTTCCTTTTTTCCTTTTTGTTCTGGTCAGTGGTCGGGGGTTTTTAAGGATGCAGAGTTCAGTGTGAGGTCAGTCCAGTACTCATCTGCACAGTAAGGCAGGTCAGGCTCCCCGTGCACAGCAGTCTGATCCGCTCCGGGTTTTACGAGAGTACCTTCTGCAGGGAATCCAATGGCTCTGTCCTTTTCTTGAGCTTATGGGTGTCCCCGTTTATCCCGGCACATTCCGCCTCCTGTGTCCAGGTCCTTTTGTACGAGAGTCCTGCAGCTGGTAAGACCCGGACCGGATCGGTTAGCCGTGCAGTCGGAGTGACCTGGTTCCTGTTGCCCCAGGCACACCAGTAAGGCCCTTCACAGCTCCCCCAGTAGCCGTGAGGGGCAAAAAAGAGTGTGCCAGAGAAACGCGAACGTGGGGGGTCGAGTCCAGATGCTTTCTCTCGGCTTCCGTCTGAAAGATGAAGCAACTTCCGACCCCCACATCCCTCCTGATCTTATCCCACCCCACCCCCCTTTCCTTTCTGGTTGTTCCCCGGCATCGCAGTGCCGTCCTGTTGGGGATCCCCCACCCCGAATCTTCAGAAAGCAGATCCAAGGGCTGACCTTGCCCTCCATTGCAGGTGTGCTCTTCTTGAATGGGGTGTGGGGGCATGAGTTAGAGGAGTGGGTAGGCAGTGATGATGGGGGCAGGGGACACAGGCAGGAAGAGCTGTGCTGGGATGCCTTACATCAGCTGTTCCCAAAGATGAGGAGTGTTTTTTTTTTTTTTTAGCTTCAGGAAAAAAAGTCTTGATGCCGAAATTGTTTTGTTTATCCCCTTAACTGAGCAAGATGGCGTAGGTGTGCTCCTTCTTTAGAAAATGATCGCTTATTAAAGCCGCCGGGCTGCCTCTCCGGCACCAGGGTCTGGCACCCGTGCGTTACACGGGAGAGGACGAGGCCTGTGTGTTCGGGCCTGGTGCGAGGGGCCCCAGGAGGTGTACAGGGGTCTTCAAACCAGCAGCACTTGAGGGTCCGGCAGAAGCTGTTAAGCCAGTAAAGAGCCGAGTGAGGTCCTCCAGGGCGGAGTTGGCGTGGAAAGCTGCAGACCAGGGGCGGTTCCGTGGGCTCGGAGACCCCTGGGGTCAGGGAGGCAGGGATGTGAGGGGAGGAGCGTGCACGGGCAGGCCAGGACAAGGTGCTCCCGCCTGGCGTCGGCTGGCACCGCCGTCTCGGTCAGGACGCCAGCGCGTGGGCGTCTGGAGGGGCAGGAGGGGATCGAATTTTGTTTGGGGTTTTTTTTTTTGCCGGCCCATCCGAGATGGGAGTCGATGCTTAAAAAAAAAAAACCTGGCTTCATCGTTTCCCTCCCTCCCCCCAGCTGATCGACATCACGGGGAAGAACCAGGACGAGTCCATGATCGCCCTTCACGACTGCAACGGCGACGTGAACAGAGCCATCAACGTGCTGCTGGAGGGGAACCCCGACACCGTGAGTCTCGTGGGGGGGGCGGGGGGGTTGTCGGAGAAGCCAGGTTCCGTCGAACTCCGAGTTCCAGCTGAGGGAAAGGAGGCAAGCCCCTCTGGTTTCAAGGGTGTCAGCCTTGGCACCCCACAACTCTTAACCCCTGGCGGCTCCGTCGGCGGAGTCCCGGAGGCTTGGCAAGAGCCGCCGCCTGACGCCAGTCCCCCCCGCTGTGCCGCAGGACTCCTGGGAGATGGTGGGCAAGAAGAAGGGCGTGTCCGGGCAGAAGGACGGCGGGCAGACGGAGGCCAGCGAGGAGGGCAAGGAGAACCGCGAGAGGGAGCGGGACGCAGCGCGCCGGCGCGGAGGGGCTCCTCCCCGGAGGGGCCGGGGCGCCAGCCGGGGCCGCGAGTGTAAGGAGACTCTCTATCGATCTCTCTCCCCCCCCACCGGCGCGAGCGGGACGTCTGTCGTTAATCAGCTGATCGGTTCACTTCAGCCATTAATTCCAGAGGTTGATGTGGGGGGGTTGCACACCCCTGGGTGATGCCCGTCTGGCCTCACGTTCGCCAGGGCCTCGCTCTCGAACCGGCACGGCCACGGCCCTGCCGGGGGTACTGAGCTCCGGCTCCCTGGAGTCACTGAAGGGCCGGGAGCTGCCCTGGTGAAGACCGAGCCGGTGACGTCACTAAGAGCTCAGGTGGAGGGGGAACCGGGCGCTGTTGGGCTGCTGCAGGGACCGTTTCAGTCTGAAACGTGTTCTCTGCCTTGCTGGGGCTGCTGGCCTTGGGCCCGTCCAGCCCCCTTAAACTCCAGGAGCCCCGAGTTGAATATTAAGGGAGATCTGGTGTTTCGAGCAGGGAGTCTTGGGGGGCTGTTTGGGGCTGCCTGCTCCCAGAGCCCTTGAGCGTGAGTAGAGTTGGAGCTTGTGTCTCTACCTTCCTGTTGAACCCGTGTTTCCCTTGCCCCTGAGGGAGTCAGGTGTGATGTCAAGTTCTGGGTGGGCCTGACTCCCAGCACCTTGGGGTGGTGGGGGGAAAAAGGGGGCAGGCAGTCTTTACAGCTGGGACAGAGCTCACCTCTGTGGACAGCAGAGAGGTACACGCCACTAGTGGCCAGCAGAGGGCGCTCTGTGTATGGACACTCCATGCCGGGCAGTATTGGTTTGCTGATGTGCGCTTGGTTTCAGGTTGATTATCGGTCCCGATCGGGGTGAGTTGCCAGTGGGGGTGCTTTTGCACTGCCTGATGGGACGCTCACCTTTGACTCGCCAGCGTTGAGACGCTCTCCCTGGTCTCTCATCTCCTCTCGGGCTTTTCCAAAACTGCAGCACACCAGTAAGGCCCTTCACAGCTTCCCCAGTAGTCGTGAGGGGGCGACAGCGTGTGCCAGAGAAACGCGAACGTGGGGGGGTCGAGTCCAGATGCTTTCTTTCGGCTCCGGTCTGAAAGATGAAGCAACTTCCGACCCCCACAGGACACCTGGCTGTTTCCGAGTCCTGTGACTCGGACCCCCTCAGTGAGTTATCAGGGAGGTTTGGAGTATTCATCAGGGTAGTGCACGGACGCTTATCGCTCTCTCCTACCCAAAGTGGTACAGGGGTCTGAGGCGGACCCCCGGCGTACCTGGTTCTGCATGGTGATGGTCCTTTGAGCTCCGAGACAAGTTCCTCTCACATGGGGACCCCCCGGCGCAGCAAGGACTGCTGGGAATGAGGGGTCGTTGGCTGGTTGATGTGCCGCGCTAGGAGGTGTGGGCAGAGGCCTGGCCCAGCTGGCGCGGAGGGGGGAGGGAAGGCGCTTCTCTTCCCTGTTGGACATACTTTTAGAAACCCGATCTTGTGGAGGGCGGCCCTGTGTCTTGGTCTTGAGTTGTCTGGAGTTGGGGGGGCCCCCCCTCCCCGCACGCCAGAACGGTCCTGTTTTAAGCTAAGCTACGTGCATGAACTTTCTCCAAGCTCTGCTGTCTAGCCCCCCCCCCCCTGGGCAGGAGTGATGCTAAGAACAGAAATTGAGCGGCCTTTCTGGGCTGTTTGTGGCCTCAGTGCAAAGCTTGATCTCTCTCTCCCCCCCCCAGTCCGCGGACAGGAGAACGGGCTGGACGGAGCGAAGGCAGGCGGGCCATCGGGCCGGGGGATGGAGCGCGGGCGCCGGGGCAGGGGCAGAGGCAGAGGTAAGTCCCAAAAAAACCCCTCTCGTGTCCGTGAGTTCAGCGCCTCGGCTCTGTGTGGAAGCCTGTCCTGTGCTCAGGAGGGGGCTCGTGATCGTGCCGCTGGCTGCGCCTGGCTGACCTCTCTCTCTCTCGTCAGGTGGTTCCGGACGGCGAGGCGGCAGGTTTTCGGCTCAGGGGATGGGGTAAGTCAGGGCTCCGTCCAGCTCTCCGGGCAGAGGGTGGGAGCGAGACCCCCCCCCCCTCGTGCAGCAGTGGGGGCTGCGGGCTCCGAGTCCGTGTGTCGCGAGCAGCGCTCCCGAGGAAACACTCCAGGGGCCCCTGTCTGGGGAGCGGCCCCCGCCGAGCGGCCCGCGGCCGTGCCCGTCAGCGCAGCGCCGCCACCGCCTTGAACAGGGCCAGAGCTGCAGAGAGGGGCTCTCGCCTGGCTCGGCCCGTACAGAGGTGCCCTCCGTGGGCTCCTGAAGCGGCTGGAGGGCTGTCCTCTCCTGGGACAGGCCCCCGAAACGGGCTCCTCCAGAGGCTACAGGCCTGGGGGGGGGGAGTGGCGCTGTGGGCGACTCCTGTGTGTACCTGGGCAGCCGGAGGCTTAACCCCCCCCTGCTCCTCCTGCCCTGGCCGGCAGGGACTCCAGTCCCGTTCGGGATGTGACCGGCTGTGCCGGTGGGGGGGGTGTCTGGAGAAGCACAGCGTGACAGCCTCACGCTTGTACAGCCCCCTCCCGCCGGTCTTGTTCCTGGACGTACCAGGACTGAGTGTTTCCTTGTGGGCGCTGGGCTTCCGGCAGCCCCATGGCGCGGGCTTCCCGGGCTCGGAGCTCGAGGACCCCGGGGCAGGCAGCGACGTCAAGCTGCTCGGTCCCCGAGCGGAGTCTCCTTCTCATCCCGATGCCCGTCCCGCGGGGATGTGCGAGGCGGCGTCGGTGCTCCCACGTGTCCCCCAACGCTTGGGGAATTGTTTTTTGGGGGAAAAAAAATTCAATTCCAGTCCCTGGGGGAGGGGTGTGGACAGACGGACGACAAATGTCCGACAAATTGGCTTGTGGTGGTAGGTTGTTCTCCAGTGGGACGAGAGGGAGGTAATTCGAGTGGGTAGCTGCACCGGGACAAGTAAAGGTTTATTCCCACGCTGAAAAGAGAAGACAAACGGGAGAGGGGAGGGAGTTGGCTGTAGGTGGGAATCAACCAGCTTTCACTCCGAAGACCCTCCCAGGACTTCATTGGGGTGCCCAGCTGTGCGCCGACAGCGTCTGGAAATCTGTCCTCCAGGGGGCTGTGGGAGCACTGACCTCAGCCGAGTGTGGGGTGACGGCACCTCTGGTTTTGTGTTGTGTGTTTGTGCCCCTGCTTGAGATGCAGCTTTGGCTTGGTGTGCAGTTTAACCCCTTACGTCACGGTCTCCCAGTCCAGGTCCTCTCCGCCCCTGCCGCCTGCCAGGTTTCTCATCCAGCTGGGCCCAGTTTATTTCATCGGACCCCACGTCTCCAGTCCAGTGTTGCAGTTCTGGACGCCTCCAGGTTTAGTTTGTAACGGTAATGGGGATGGACCTGGAAGCTGCTAGTCTGTGGGAGTGGCAGAGTTAGCAAGGCGTAATCAAGCCAGTGGGTGTTGGGAATCTCCAGGACTGGGAAGCCCTGGCATGGGAGTTCGAGATCCGGAGACCCCGGAACGTTCTCTTCCGGCTGGGAGATCGAGTGAGATCAGGGCGCTGTCCCCCGACCCCTGACCCCTGACCCCCATGTGCAGGGTGTGACTAGTCCCAGTTTGGGCTCCCGCCTGCCAGTGGTGGCTCATCAAGAGGGTTCTGCTCAAACAGTTCAGGTGAATTTTGGGGGAAAAACTGAGGACCTCCAGGAGTGGGACACCTGCCCCTTTCCCTCCCCCCAGCCAGTTATGTAAACCGCCCGCCTGCCCTGGGTGTCTCCCCAGCGCGGTGGCTGATGGGGCTGAGCCACACACCCACACCTGCCAGCCTCTCCGGGGGCCCGCAGCCTGCAGGCCGGCACAACTTCTCCGGCTGCCCTGGCCTGCCGCTTTCCCTTCTCCCCGTTCCGAAACCGAAGGCGTGCCTCGGTACGTGCGGATGTCCGCCGAGAGGAAGGTGGCTCTCGGGTCCGTTAGGCGTAACTTGAAATGCGTCCCATCCCGACGGCGGCCCCTACCCTCTCCGCCGCGCGGGAGAGCCTGGGGCCCTGGACTGTGGTCTTGAGCGTGGCAGCGCGGGTGGGGGGGGGGGCTGGCAGAGCTGGGTCAGTTCGGTTTCTAGGTCCTGCAGGACCGGAGCTGTGCCAGGTTATCACAGAGGGAGATCAGTCCTCCCCGTGGTAGTGAGGCGCACAGCGCGTCTCGGGGCTGGTGGGCTGGTGAAGGCTTCGCATGTTGTCTGCAGCACGCGGCTTAGGAAGCAGGGATCGGGGGACGGCACCGCCCCCGGCCAGACTGACTAATCGGGGTTGCCCCTGTTGGGGGGGGGGGGCGATGTGTGTTGCAGTAATGTCTGTGCAGCCAGACTAACCCGTGGGAGCGGTCCGCGTTGGCGTGGACGCAGGCGGGCCTGCCGGGGTGGGTCAGCTGCAAGGTTTTTTTTTTTCCCCTCCTGGGTGCTTTTGACATGCAGTGTTTTGTTCTTGAATTCCTTGCATGCAGTGGAACTCTGTGAAAATGTCGACACTCCTGTCCCACAGTGCACAGCCGTGCCTCCTTTAGGAACCGATCGACCTCGGTATCTGGGACCGCGAGTATCCAGTGGCACATCATAGCCCAGAGCCATCTCCGGGCTCTGTACATGTCTTGTTTCACTCTTAACTGAAAATTTAAACTTTGCCCCCCCCCTCTTGGACGACTCGTGCTGTTTTATTTTCACTCTGTGCTGCCCGGCCTGCCGTAATTTTTACATTTGTTTTTCCTCTAAAGCCAGATTGATAAGGGGTCAAGATATGATTTTTCAGGAGACGACGGGTGAGTATTGTGAATGGCGTGCCCCGTACAGTCCGACGCTCAGACACGTGGCCGAGCAGGGCAGAGAGAAGGGAGAAGTGGGGTGGGGTGGGGGGCGGGGGGGGGTTGGGAGTGGGCGGTTTAATTATCGTGATTGTGTCGTCTTACACTCTGAGGAGAATTGAACAGCTGTTTGGTGTGCCTGGCTCAGTAGCTCAGCACGCTCAGAATTTGAGGGCGGGGTGTTCTAGGTCCTGGGGTGCTGCTGTGTGAGCAGATTGTCCCATCTAAGGTGTGGGCGACCCAGATTGGCTCTATTGGACCACCTTCTCCCAGCTCCCAGTGGGCGCTCTCCAGGAACGGGTCTCGGGGTGTCTCGCTCCTTAGTGTGACCTCGCGCCGGTTTGTGTTTTTGGTGTCGGGGGGGGGGTTGGAGCGGAGTGCGAATCACGTGGACCCTTGGCATGACGGGGAGGGCCGGCCCCACTGCCCCCTGGGAACTGCCGAACGAGGCGCTGTTTTGCTTTCAGGGCCACATCTCCGCCGTCCCTCAGTGCAGGGCGGACGGGCGTCAGAAGCTGTCGGGGGGAAGGGGAGGAGGAGGAGGAGGAGGAGGTGGAGGTGCTGTAGCCGTAGCCATCTTGGCTCTCTCACCCCACAGGCCCTCGTGCTGGTGCCGTTAACGCCTCCGTGAGCCTCTACCGTCATGCCAAGTTAATTCCGCTTTCTTGCGTGCCGTGTAAGGAAGATGGCAGACCTTCTCAGATGCTGTTTTAGATCGAGTCCCTTTTATTCATTGCTGCAGTTTTTGGGGGGGTGGGGGTGGGTGGTGATGGGGCTTCTTGCTCGGCGCAATCAGACCTGCTAACTGCTCTCCCAGGAAAGCCAAGGGCCCTTAGAGGCGGCAGCCTGGTCTGGAGTTGATAGGAATCCCGTCCGCCACGCCCCCGCCATCGCCAGGGCGAAGAAGGCCCCGGCGGCCCGACGCAGCCTCTCGGGAGCGTGGGTTTTGTAGGCGGGCCTGTTTCCGCGGGAGAGCGGGTGTCGCGGGGCCGCTGGGTGGGGAGGAAAGGGGAGGGGGAGCGGGCTGTACGGTAACCGGGGCGGCCTTTTTTCTCTCTCGCCGGCAGGACCTTCAACCCCGCCGACTACGCCGAGCCCGCGAGCACGGAGGAGAGCTACAGTGGAGGCAGCAACACGTGGAACAACACGGGCAGCTTCGAACCCGACGATGGCGCCCGTAAGTCTTAGGAAGCGAGGTCTCCGTCTTCGACCCAGGGCCCTGCAGTCTTGTTCGGGGGGGAGGTCGGCGGAGCTCTGCGGTTCACCGGCGGCGGGTTCGAGCCTGGGCGCCACCTACTGGCCGCAGAGCTGCACTGCTGAGGGTAGAACTGGGGTTCACCGCTCGAGTACAGGGGGGCCACTACAAGCCGAGGTGTCGACGATTTCTAGCTCTTAACCGAGAGGCCGAAAGGTTTACAGGCCCCCCTTATGCCCCAGTGGCATCGAGCAGCAGAGCCGGGCTGTGGGCTTTGAGTAAGTTCAGGCCCAGATCAGGGCTCGTCGAGTCATTTACAGTGGAACGTGTTTCTAAAACAGAAAGTTACTGTGAGCCGTGGCACAGCACAGGCCCAAACACTGAGGCGGGAGATACAGACCCCTGGTGATACTGTAGAGGAGTCTGGGGGAGAGCAGGGGGTTCGAGCTGTCACTTCTCTGAAACCCCTGCGGAGTATACGATCAGTGCTGCACCGCCCTTTACGTTTTTAATGGTTTTGGGCTTGAAAGTTCTTTCATTGCTCATTTTTTCTCAGCCTCATAAGCGTTTGTAATCCCTGGCCCTTGTGTTGTCGGTGCGTTTTGGTTTGACGCGGTATCCGCAGGTGTGTGCGGAAGTTTTGCGTGTCGTGCCGGAGGGCCGGGAGGCCGGGGGCGTGTTGTCTCCTGCCCTGCTCGCTCTGGGTGTAGGAGGCTGCTGCGGTTGTTTTCTTTTTGCCTCATTTTCGTCTTTGTCTCTCTCTTCCCTTCCAGGGCTTGAGTTCTCTGGGGGTGAGGGGACAAATTATCCCAGAAAATTTGACTCTGCTCCTGGTACGATAATTATCCAGGTGCAGCATTGCCCCGGATAACTTTTCTTGATTTGTTCGAATTTGTTTTTTTTAAATGTTAATATCTGTGGATATAAGGCATGGTACTGTGGAAGGAAGATTGCTTGGATCTTGTTTTTCCTGGGAATGTTGTCTGTCTCCAGGTCTTGAGCGGATATTTGTTCGGTACCCTTTGTTTTCCCTCAAGACCCAGGCTTGGAATGGTACAGAAAGAGCCATTTAATAATTATAATGATTGCTTACACTTATATAGCGCTTTTCTGGACACTCCACTCGAAGCACTTTATAGTAATGGGGATCCCCTCCACCACCACCAGCGTGCAGCCCCACCTGGGTCATGCAACAGCAGCCATAGTGCACCACAACGCTCCCCACACATCAGCTCTCAGTGGGGAGGAGAGCAGAGTAATGTAGCCAATTTAATTTATGCCCTTTAGTATGAGAAGAGTAAAACCGGTTGGTCCTGAAGGACAGAAGACAAACTTATTGTTCGGTGAAGGTCAGAGCTTGGGGGAATTCAACTAGGACCCTCCTGGTGTACCAGCCCTAGGCCTCGATCACCGGACCAGCTGTCCATGTTTTGCAGAACTGTCCTTGAATGTACTGAAAACTCCCTTTCCAGTGAAGCTTGAGGTCCTGGAGATAAGACACCCCTTAGCTTTTGGTTATTTTTCTTTTACTCTCTGTATATTACAATCCCATAATTTTCCATGCTCATTGTCTGGGGGGGGGGAGACGTTCCTTTCACAAGTCCATGTTCTCAGCCACCCCACACCTGACTCTGCCTTCTGAAACTCCCTATAAACGGATCAGGTGGCGATTAAGCTGTGAGCACGCAGCTCTTTGGCCTCCCTCGTTGACCCTGGGGTGCAGAAATGACAGAGCTGCAGGTTTAGTGCGAAGGCTCTGCTCATTTAGCTGCTCTTAAAATCCACCCTCGCTGAGCTGTGCGTGCCGTGTTTCCAGAGCTGCTGTGGTGTGGAGAAGGAAGAAGAAATCAGTCTCCCCTGCCCCTGTTTAACCTGTCCGTCCGTCTCAGGGTTTTCTCTTATCTCTCTCTCTCGTGTCTGTTTCCCCTGCTGCCCCCAGGCGCTTGGAGGACGGCCACCGAGGAGTGGGGCACCGAGGACTGGAACGAAGACGTGAGTATCGGGGTGATGGGCGTGGGGGGGGTCTGCATTCTCTCGGCTCGCCCATGCTGTCCGATCGCTCACCACCGGGCGCGAGGGCGCTGTCCCCCAGCCTTGACCGGTGGGGTGGGTTTGAACACGGGCTGTATTACCCACGTTGCCCTTGTGCCAACGAGACTGGAGGGCCCCAGAAGATCAGAAGTGTGGCTCTGTGCTCACCTTTCTGACGGCCACAGGGTCATGTAATAGCATTGCCAGCAGCTGCTCCTCTTGACCGAGGCAGCTGTACAGGGGGCTCAGGCGGGTGTCTTGTCTTCTCCCCAGAACCTTGCCAACAGCATCCCAGCTGAGGGGCACCTTTCTCCCTGAAAAGCATAGAAACCCTTGGAGCTGAGCACTTAACGCTCGCCCTTAAACTAAATCAAAATCCGAACAGTCCTCCCGCCAGTAATCCGTCTCTTCCAGAGATGTTGAACGGAAAACCGGTGAGAAACGCAGAGAAATCCCCCCCCCATTATCGCAGCCTGGACAGTGAAACATGCGGCGGCCGTTCTTGACGGTTTGTTTTTAATGTCCCCCCCCCGCCTCCTCTTTATTTTCTTCCCCCAGCTTTCGGAGACCAAGATATTCACAGCCTCCAGCGTGTCCACCATCCCCCTGCCTCCGGAGAACGTGACGATTACGGCCGGCCAGAGGTACGGACTCGGGCGGAGAGAGGGGGAGGAGGGGGGTCGCGGGCCGGTGTCTTCCCCCTCCTTTCCCTTAGACACTTGGGACAGCCGCAGCCCGCTGAGCCGAGCGAGCGGCAGGGGGGACGAGACCCCCTGCCTCTGGCCCCGCCGGGTTTGTAGGCACGGTGCCTAGGGCCTCCGAAGGAGGGGAACTCTAGTGACGAATGAAAAACGAGCTGGACCAACGTGCTTGAGAT